GGGGGAAATGTTTAGATGGGGGGGGGGGGAGGTATATGAGGACATGCACTGAAGCCGTAGTTTTATCCAGTGGAAGGAAATGAATTGGCTAAATATTTAGATCACGTCTTATTCCAGCGGATGTCTGTCACCACAGAGGATGATTTGTCTCTGCAGTCATGCAGATTTGTCAATTAAAAATCCTCATATTTTTGTCTTCTGGAATGAGAAGTTGTGTTTATTTTCTGGAATGTCTCTATTTGTTTGTGGTTGGGAACTGGTAAACAGCCTTCAAGTATCAGTGATATGATTTAGACCATGACTGCTTCACACTGGGGCCGCTATAGCAGCTTCTGTCAAGGCCCCAGCTTTACTGTAGGATGCTACCAATGTAACAAACTAAGGCTGCAGCTATTGATTATGTTCATTATCCGTCTGCCAGCTCTTAGAACTGGTGGCCCGTGTGCTGAGGCTGGGTTCGAGTCCAACCTGTGGCGTTTTTTTTCATTAAGTAGTCAAGTTGAGTGTATTCTCTTCCTACTTCCTGTCCTTTTCCTTTAGACTTCCATACTACAAGGAGTTTTTAACCGGTTATGAGACAGTCTCAATTTAATTCTGATGAATCCATATGAGAAACAAACAAGACCGTCAGCGAGAAGGCTATTTCTATATAGTGATTCTTAATGCCTGCTACCAGGTTGGATTCCCATGAATCAGATGGAACGAGGCGGCACTACCGCTTTTGTCCACAGGGGCCGCCATAATCAACACAAAAAAATGAAAGTTCCTTGTAGGTGCTTTAAATTACTTTGAAGCATACTGAGGCCTTTATGATCACATAAGACAGAGAAAATTGGCCAACGCTCACACTTGTGAAGCTACTGTTTGGCGTTATTTGCTTGAAAAAATACTAGTAAAAATTAATCACTAATCAAAATGATTAATTAATTATTAATTTCCGACCAATCCATAAGTCAACCGATCGTTTCAGCACTGTACCAAATTGAAAGCAACGCAAACTGTGTGTAAGGGGGAACAGGAGAGCTGCTGGAGCATGGTGAATGTGAGGACATGGAGGGAAGAGAACCAAGAAAAACATACAAGGATTTAGAAAGGCCTGTTACTACCCTGGGAGGTGTGCATCCATTACTGTGCTCAGGTGTTAACAGGTTCCATGTGTGTTTACACTTTATATATTGTTCCACATGCTGCTGCCGCCACAGTGGGCGCAGGGCCTTTCTGGACTATTACTGCATTATTGTGAGGGTAGCAGGGGAGAAACAAAGAGGCAGCTCCTCGCGGATTTCAATCACTGTGTGTTGTTAACCCTGCTCCAGGAATGTCACCCACCTGAGGAAGGAGAACTTGCAGGTCCTGCAGCCTGGAGGTGGTGGTGAAGTTGTAAAGGCGGATAAAAAAAAAGAAGAGATTTCTGCTGGAAATCAGCATCAATATAAGTCCACTGGCAAACTGTGGTGGGGGTCAGCTTCCAAACAAATTGGGGCTCTTTTGATGGAGGCCGGTCAGCCACCTCATTAAATTTGCATGTGAATACAAACAGCTTGACCGCCTAGTGCTGCACAAAATGGCCGATGATAAAGACCGCGCCGCCGCCGCTGGCTCCGGCTTTTGTCGAGGCCGAGCTGTGACTGCTGGATGTCGGTGTGACGGGAGGAGGCCTGGCAAACTCTGGCGTGGTTTGTGTGCGGTGGTCTAGTTGGTGTGTGCGCGCAATTAACGCACAAAGCAGCCAGACAAAGACAAAGTGTGTCCTTGTGGCTCCTTATCACTCCTCATATAAAGGTTAAAACAAACATGGAGTCTCTTTTTTGGCCTATGTGTGGCGATTTCCTCACCTTCCCGTGGCCACCTGACACCCATGGGTAAGCCAGCAAAGTGGGATCAGGCTAAAGAAAACAGCAGTCACATTAGGCAGGCCAGGCAGAGGACATTGTTATTATTACAAGGGTAATAGTCCTGGGGGAGGCCCTGAGCATGGGCTGAGCCTCGCTAATGCAAGCTGCCGCTAAGTGGTTAGCTGCTAATAGTGTTTTCCTGTCCTCCTAATGGAAAGAAACAAGGGTCACCGCTCAGCACAGAGACACACACCCTCTTCAGTGAAGCGGACCTCAACTTTAAACTACTTACAGGATGTCTTACTTGCGGTTACCATGGTGACCGGGGAGACCGTAGGGTGTGAACTTTTCAACCCAAGCGTCCCCATTTTGCTTTGTGTGACGCACACGGTGTATAATACATGATTACTGTGACATTTGGACTTGTGGAAATGTAAATATTCAGCCGGAGTTTAGAAACTCTTGACGAATGAGCGCGACAGAAACCTAACCCCCGGTCTCCAAACAAACTGTCAAAATCAAGCTTTTACCGTTCTACTTGTTGCTGTTTGCATACACATTTTTGGAAGAATTCAGCCAGAAAGTAACAGTCTGCCATAATGGTTGAAATATTTTGTTCCAGTAGTTGGTGGTGCTGTGGCAATATAGGATAAAACACAGTGTTATTCTACAAAACAAAGTGTCCCTGGAAGTTCTTCAATACCTTTTATCCTTAAAGGGTCAGTTTACTCAAATGACAAAAAAATGATGTTTTCTTAATTACGTACCTCCACAGAACACACTGCCAACAGGTTTAAATGGAACTACTCTCTGCTTAGAAATAGCCCATTGGAAAACAGTGTGTCCTGTGGCTTATCCAGAGTAAAACTTGGACAAATGAAGTATCTGCATGTCTAGACACCACTTTGTAATTTGGGTAAACCAGCAATTTAGCAACAAAGAATGAACTGTAAAGGAGACGTCTGGTGTTATTTTTTTTTTCTGATTGCCACCCATAACAAAGCCAAAACTCAACGTCTCTTTTTCGCTCAGCCCCAAGCCTGTTGGCCAGCAGTTAAAGCTGCAGCAGGTAATTTTTATTAAAATAACTTGTCACTGTGGTCTGACAGTAGTACACAAGAGGGATAATCCGTGAAAAAACCAGACTCCTCTGGCTTGTTCTCACACTCCTAGTGGCATTTGCAAATTTGAGAATCCAGCAGGCCTGAACAAAAACAACCAATCAGAGCTAAGAAAGATATAAAGACACTTTGATTTGGAGGCTTGAAGATAGTCGATTGTTGAGTCTCATTCCCAAAGCATCTGTATTTTCAGGCTCGGGAATGAGACTCAACAATTAACAATCTTTCTTGGCTCTGATTGGTTGTTTTGGTTTAGGCCCGGTGGATTCTTGCAAATGCCAGAGGATCCAGATAAATTCATAAATGATCTGTCTCGTGAACTTCGGTCAGGATATAGTGAAAGCTTCAGCAAATATAATAAATATTTTTTATAAAAATCACCTACTGCAGCTTTAAACACAGCTCACAAATACAGTTTCATTTTTAAACACCTTCTCAGAACAGCCGGGCACTCAAATAAATGGTGTATTTCTCAGGGACTATTTTCAACTGTGGATTAATCAAAATGTAGTGCTCTAGTATGTGAATGTATGTGGGATTGAGTCCAAATAAACCAGTGTGTGTGTCCTTGGTAACATGTCAGCCAGTGTAACAGTGTGGCTAAGGTGTGTTTTTACATAGTTTTTTTGGGGACCAAAGATGGAGCTCTATTTGAACAAAGAGGAACAGAGAATTTATTCAGACTTTGATAACACAATACTGTGTTTGGTTTTTGGCCTTTTCATGGGATTCATTGACAGAAAAAGAAAATTAGAACCACCAGACATATCTTTTAATATGTCAAATAGGAGAAGTGTGGCTACTCAAATCTCGTGCAGACCCAGGGGAAATGACTCTAGAAGCAAAATAAGATTGAAACCCCTCCTCAATGAGAGCCTGCTGAACACAGGAGGCACACTGTATTTACTGACACCCAGAAAGGCAGAATAAAGGGGTGCTTACTGGCATTAGAGTGAGCACAAAATAAATAGCACTACTACTTCCAGGATAAATCCAGCCAGTAAGGAGGGAGAGAGGGAAAAAAAAAAGTTATTTGAAGCTGAAAACCTGACCTCTGGAGAGGGTTCAAGAACGACTGACAGATGTAGCAGCTCTACTGTAAAACAAGGCCTCACTGTACCGAGCACACCACGGCCACACTGAGACCTAGCTTTGAAACGCCACGCTGCCAAAGCAGGATGCTCCTGTCACACACACCTCCGTAGCCCCGATTTTAACTAGATCTAACACTGCGTGCCAAACAGCTCCAGCCACAGTAGCAGAGTGCATGGATCCTACTGGAAGCTCAGGTAAAAACACAAGAATGAATCATCAAAATAAATAAAAAGTCATTTTAATGGAAGTTTTTCTTTCACACTCACAATCAAGCTTATAGTCTGATCACAGAGAGAGATGTTGGACATTCACCCAGAACAAGACACACACCAGTCAGTTTTATCAGACAAATATATATATATATATATATATATATATATATATATATATATTTTAAATCTTTATACAATAAGCTTGAATCATGAAAACGTACAACAGGAGTGTGTGCACACCTACAGTCCAACAACCTGAATTTTTTTTTTACTCCTCCAAAACAAGTCCTTTTTTTTTAACCCCTGGTGTCAAGTGTAAAAATTCTTGTTTTTTAAGCAACGGCAAAACTTTTTTGTTTTGTTTTTGTTGTTTTGTTTTTTTTTACAAATGTGGCAAATAAGACAAATTTGGGAATCCTTCAGGCG